AAATCTTTACAGTGAGGATCATTCCCACCCCCTCCATATACAGAGTAGACAGGGATGGGCAACTTGGACATTGGCTACCCAAAATGGGGGACTACAAAGGCAAGAAGTGACTGGCTTACAAGCTTTCAAGAGGGAACCTAGATCCAGAGGGCAGGAGGAAGGTAGAATCTCCACTGAATAGTATTCAATATGTCAAGGCAGGGCTGATGAGAGGAAATGCAGATAGGTCTCTTGTGATACAATAGTGAATAATTGTTATTAGGACTGCTTGTGAGGGTTGGAAATGTAAAGGTAGACGTTTTGTAACAAGGAGGGGAGTGATTAACTTTTCAGTCTAGGAGAGGAGGTCCCTGGGACCATCAATGGAGAAGAGTGGAGAGCGGGAGAAGAGTGGAGAGCAGGACCCTACCCAGAGTAGCAGTGACGCCAGAGATGGAGGCAGAGACGATGATGTGGAGAGATGGAGCAGCTGGGGACTTTAGATCCAGAAGAGGAAGAAGGGCTGTGTGCTGAATACCTGGCGGGGAGTGGGGTGGTGGGGGTGGTGGTAGGCTTGCAGGGTATACCCTTTGGTTGGTTGATGATGCATGGAGGGGACTGTAAGCATGGCAATGAAATGATATACGATGGGATGAATGTAAAACTAATGTTCTCCCATGTAAACTATCAGATTAATTCGCAATAAAACATTAAAAAAAAAAAGTATCCAACCTGAAGGTTCTAGCGGCCAGTCTCAGATCTTCTGGCAAAGATCGCAACCCCATCTGTAGTCACTGAAGGGGACCAGACATGTCCCAAAAGGAGTGTTATGTTTTAAGTCAAAGGAAAAGGCTGTAGGTAGTAGAAGTATGAATGATTTTTTTTTTTTTTCTAAAACCTAATTATTACATAAATATAGTGTAGGAGTGACTAGGTGTTGCAAACAGCTAAGCACTCAGCTGCTAAATGAAAGGCTGGATGTTCAGAAAAAGGCCTGAAGATCTACAACTGTAAAACTCACCTTTGAAAAACCCCATGGAGCCAGTTCTAATGTGGCACCCATGGGGTCACCATGAGTTTGACCTGACTTGAGACAGCATTTGGTTTTGGTAAGTAGTTTGCAATAGTTGGTGGCATGTTGCTTACCTGCATGTTTTCATCCCTCAGACCACCATACCTAGTGTGGCCTCAGGTATGGCAGCGACTTGGCATAGCTCAGGGCAGTCACTGGACTCCCAGGCTACCTGGGATGTACTGGTTTCTTGGTCACCAGAGTTCTGGGGGTACATTCCTGCCTTTCCCTGAAGGGTACATGGGTGGGGTTGGAGGGAGCTCTGGCTGAGCCAGGTCCAGAGGCCCTTACCTGTGAGCACATAGTCATATTTGTTCACATTGTTCAGCTTCAGGCCTTCGTACAACTCGTGCAGCTCACCGGAGTTCAGCACTTGGCCCTTCCAGTGTGCGTAGCCTGAGAGGGAGAGAGCAGGACACATCAGCATCCCACCAGCACATTCCTGGGGATGATGTGGGGGCCCCGAGTATATCCATTTGGTAGCACTCATGAGGGGCAGGCGAGGTCCCAGCAGGCAGGGCTGTCCCACTAACAACCTGTGTTTTGCCCTTGGAAAACCAGCCCCAGCATCCCGTATCCATGAAGAACCCTTCCCACATAGGCACCTCTGAGCTTTCACTTCAGGTCTCTGGGGGATGAGTGATGCACATGCAGGGACTAACTGCCCAGTGGAAGGTCACAGCTGACTGTGAGGGGCTGAATTGTGTCCTAGCTGAATTGAGTTATGTAGAAGTCCTAGCTCCTGTACCTATGAATGTGACCCTGTTGGAAATAGGTGTTTTCTTGGTATGTTAATGAGGTAGGTCCTAAACCTAATCCCTTCTGAGTGGCATCTTATAAAAAGAGCAGAATAGGCAGAGGGAAAGACAGACATCATGTAAGGATGCCTAGACAAGCTGTCCGAAATGCCAAGAGCTATTGTGGCACTTTAGGATAATGCACTGGACCACAAGATCAGTTTGAACCACAAGGCTGGTCGTTCAAACTCGCCAGCTGCTCCTCGAAAATCCTATACAGGGTCACTACAGGTTGGAACCTAGTCAACGGCACTCACAACACAGAAGTTCAAAGAGACAGGTATCTTGCCCCAGAGCAGGAAGTCTAGCCCTGCTGATGTCCTGAGTTTCAGACTCCTGGCCTCTAGAACTGTGAAACAATACATTCCTGTTCTTTAAAGTTGCTGGCCTGGGGTGTCTCCACTCTGGCAGCACCAGGACACTCAGACACACTTTCCCCATCTACACGGATTTCCCAAGAGACTGGGAGGTAGAGGTTGGGGGAAGGTATGGCTCTTATCAGGCAAGGGGAGAACTGGGTTTATGCTTGCTGGGAGCCAGCTCAATAAATAAAAGATCCTGTTGTAAAAATTATCTCTATGCATTTCTTATCACAAGTAAGGCCGTGGTCGAGAATATTCTCTGATAAGGAGTCTGGGAATTGCATCTCCCAGTTCCTTCTCTTAAAATCGTCGTCATAAAGTCATAAAGTCACAGTACTGGGCACACAGTGCAGACGGGAAGAGAGCAGGGCCTCTTGATTACAGCACAAAGGGGTGAACATAGACTTCTGCCCTGCACTGCCACACGTGGATGAAACTGCTGACCGTGGGAGACCAGTGCCTACTAGTGAAACTGACCCTGCCTGCTTTGTCTCTATGTGAGTGAAGTGTCCCTATGCACTGATAGTGTGTGGTCTTTTGGTGGGATTGTAGATTCTGTCATGACAGCAGTAAGACTAGAAGAAATACCCAATGACAGCAATGGTCCCAGTAACTCTTGGGCCTGGTGTGGCCTCCAGGGCTGTGAGCTGGTGGGGTGCCCCTCTGTGTTCTGTAGGCGAAGCTGACTCACCCATGGTTTGGTTGGTTAACTGAGGGAGGGAAGGCTGGGCTTTCTGTGCTGTCTCTGATGGTAGCCCAGCAGGTTTTAGCTCCAGGAAGTCCTGGAGCTGCCACAAAGAACTGCAGGTGGGTCAGGGGTGGAGAAGGAATGGGTCTTTCTGTTCCTTGAATTTCTGAATGTTCTTCCAACAGCTTGGGGCTTAATTTAATTAAGCTAATCAATTAAGTTAATTTCATCTGACAATACGATGTAAAGACTGGCACCATCTGCGGGCAGAGCACTGCTCCCCCTTTTCTTATTACACAAAGGGGGCTCGGAATCCACCCTCCCATTTAGCTGCACCTCCCCCATGATTCATGGGTGCCCAGTACCACATTTACAGATGGGAACACACAGCACAGAGAGGTTGAGTCACCCTGAGAGACACAGCTGCTCTCCACGCCCCCATTCACTAAGGAGTCATGGTCCAGCTGCCCCCCTCATCACCTGAGGAGGAGCTCCAAGGCAAAAAAGGATCAAAATGGTTGGTCTTGTCCACCTGAGAGAGTAGGTAGGGGGTGGTCTGCAGAAGAGCTCAGCCGGCAGGCCTGACCACGGACCTTAGAATGATCTCTGTGCATGACTGCTCCTGGGCTGGTATCTGGGAACTGGCATTTAAGAGTTCCCACCCTGGTGGGGCCCTGTGGGTTAATGCACCAGACTGCAAAGCCATTTGAACTGCAAGGTTGGCAGTTCAAGCTCACCAGCTGCTCCTTGGAAATCCTATGAGTCAGAACCGACTCCACCTAACACCCACAAGGATGACTAGTAACGCAGCCTACAGACCTTTCTCTCCCAGGCCCTTAGGATGGCCAGCCCACTACTAACTAAGAAAGCCTAGAGGCCAGCTAGTTCCAACTCACCCGAGGACATTGACCTGCAGCCCTGGGAGGCCCCCCTCATTTTGGAATCCAAGGCCAAAGGATAGCAAAGTCTGAGCTAGGTATGCTAATATTGAACTAATGCCGAGTACTGCAAAACACAACATTCAACAGGAAATTTGATCCCATCATCTAATATCCAAGTCCATTTGCCTAATGCATATTCATATGTAAAAAAAGAGTTCGTTTTTTTTTTTTTTTTTAAAAAGAGAGCCCAAACAACCAGGAGAATACTAGGATTCAGGGAAGTTCAATGGATCAAGCCTTTTGGGGTACCTTCATGTCTTAGCATATACCACACTCACAGCAGAACCAAGGTAGGCAAGAGTTTTAATAAATATAGCCTTTTCTGCTGAATAGGCAATTTATTCTTCCCTCTCAATGTATAACTTATAATCCCCATATCACACACACACACAAAAGACACCCCAGAGAATTACAGAACATCTCCTCTGTGGGTGAGCTCAGATGGGACACCCGCTGACACTCCACCAGGCTGTCTCCTGAAGGTTCCATGCGCTTGCAGTTAGTTTAGGTTCAAAGTCATTTAAAAGAGGGAACGTGTATTGTTTCTCCTGCCACGACACAGAGTGGTAGAATGGACCCACGTCCTGAGACTTGATGGGTGGGTGGGGAACAGGTTCAGGGATCACTGAGGCCATCGACACACCTTGTTCCAGACAGCATGGATATTTCTGGAGAGCAGGGGCCCTCCCACACCCTGTGAACCAGTCATACTGGTCCAAGATTTCCATGCATAAGAATGACTTTGAGTCCAAGTGCATCCAGACAGACATGCATGCAGCTCTTCTGCAAGGCTGAGTTTGTTCTTTTCTTCTCCCAATTAAAAAATTTCCATGATTTTATTAGAAAACAGGAATTGCATGGCATCATTTCTGCTAGACCTCTTGTGAAAGACTTTTGCATCATTCATGCATTTTAAAAAAACATTTTGTACATGTACAATACTGGGGCATTAATTACATTCACCGGGTTGTGGTACATGCTACCATCACTATCACCCTTAATTATTGCTTCCCCTGAAGCAATAATAGCAACCCATTTCCCCCTCACCCCAATCCCTGGTAACCATTAAGGCTTCAAAAAGTTTGTGGGAAAATAGAACTAAAAGATAATGGAAAATTTGCACATATAATAGAAAAATTTTCTCCGTATATACTTTTGTGCCTATTGTTGTTGTTGTCAGATGCCATCGAGCCAGTACCGACTCACAGCAACCCTATGCACAACAGAACGAAACACTGCCTGATCCTGGGTCAACCTCACAATTGCTGTCACGCTTCAGCCCATTGATGCTACTACCAGTTGGCCAATCCATCTCGCTGGGGGTCTTCCTCTTTTTTGCTGACCCTCCACCTTACCAAACATGATATCCTTCTCCAGAAACTGGTCCCTCTGACAATATGTCTGAAGTATGAGAGATGAAGTTTGGTCATCCTGGTCTCTCCAAGAAGCACTCCGGCTGCACTTCTTCCTACACAGATCTATTGGTTCTTTTGGCAGCCCATGACACTTTCAATATTCTCCAACACTATAACTCAAAAGCATCGATTCTTCTACAGTCTTCCTTATTTACTGTCCAGCTTTCACATGCATGAGATTACTGAAAATACCATGGCTTGGGTCAGGCGTACCTTAGTCCTCAAGCTGACATCTTTGCTCTTTAACACTTTAAAAAGATCTTGTGCACCAGATTTGCCTCTTGCAATACTACGTCCTTTGATTTCTTGACTGCTGCTTCCATGAGTGTTAATAGTTGATCCAAGAAGTATGAAGTCCTTGACAACTTCAACCTTTTCTCCACTGATAAGAATGCTTTTATTGCTCCAGTAGTGAGGATTTTTGTTTTCTTAACATTGAGATGCAATTCACACCGAAGGTTGTGTTCTTCGATCTTCATCAGCATTTTAAGTCCTCTTCACTTTCAGCAAGCAAGGGTGTATCATTTGCATATTGCAGGTTGTTAATGAGTTTTCCTCCAATCCTGATGCCACGTTTATCTTCATAGAATCCAACTTCTCAAATTATTTGCTCAGCATACAGCTTGAATAAGTATGGTAAAAGAATACCACCCTGTCGCACACCCTTTTTAATTTTAAACCAGTTTTCCCATGTTCTGTTCGAACAGCTTCTTCTTGGTCCGTGTCCAGATTCCTCATGAGCACAATTAAGAGTTCATACTTCACAATGTTGTCTATATTTTGTCACGATCCACACAATTGAAAGACTTTGTGTATTCAATAAAGCACAGGTAAACATCTTTCTGGTATTCTCTGCTTTCAGCCAAGATCCACCGGACATCAGCAATGACATCCCCCTCATTCCATGGCCTCTTCTGAATCCGACTTGAACCTCTGGAAGTTTTCTGTCAATGTATCCTTGCAGCCATTTCTGTATTACCTTTAGTAAGACTTTACTCACATGGAATATCAAAGATAATGTCCAATGATTTCTGCATTCTGTTGCATCACCTCTCTTTGGAATAGGCACAAATATGGATCTCTCCCAATCAGTCGACCAGATAGTTGTCTTCCAAATTTCTTGGCAGAGATGAGTGAGTGTCTCCTGTGCTGCCTTACTTTCTTGAAAGATTTAAATTTTATTCCATCAATTCCTGGAGTCTTGTTCTTTGCCAACTCCTCAATGCACCTTGGATTTCTTCCTTCAGTATCATTGGCTCTTGATCATGTGCTACCTCTTGAAATGAATACACATGAACCATTTCCTTTTGGTACAGTGACTGTCTGTATTTCCTCTATCATCTTTTAATGCTCTCTGCATCATTCAATAATTTGTCCAGAGAATCCTTCAGTAATGACAGTTGAGGCTTGAATTTTTTCTTCAGTTCTCCCAGCTTGAGAAATGCTGAGCGTGTTCTTCCCTTTTGGTTTTCTAACTCCAGATCTGTGCACATTTTTTTTCTCAAGCTGACCTTTAAATTTTCTGTTCACATCTATTCCAGACATTTCATGTATGTGGGATCACTAAGAACATGTTCACGATTCAGCTATACCATAGCATGTATCATCAGAACTTCATTTTTCCTTAAGACTGAATAATATTCCAGTGTATGGGTTTGTTCATCTGCTAACCTGTTGGGTGCTTCCACCTTCTGTGAACAGAACTGCAGTGGTGTACAAGGATCTGCTGGACTCCCTGCTTTCAGGACTTTCAGGGCTGTCTCTAGGCCTGGAATTGCTGGGTCACATGTTGACTCGGGTTCTGACCCATAGCAACCCTATATGGGGTTTCCATGGAGCAGCTGGTGAGCTTGAACTGCTGGTCTCCCGGTTCAAGCGGACTTTGCCGTACAGTGCATTATCCAACAGAGCCACAACCAGGAGTCCTAACTTTTTTAGGCATTGGCTTTTACTAGAGAACATCTGACACCCCCTAATGATCCTTGGCAAGATGTACACAGATAGACTACAGGGTTAGTGAATGAGCACCTCTGAGCTAAGCACTACTGCAAACCCTTTACTTGATGTGTCCAATTACTTGTCACCAACCTCAAGGAAAGGAGCCCTAAGGAGCCCTGGTAGTGTAGTGGATTACTAGCTGGGCTGCTAACCACAAGGTCAGTAGTTCGAATCTACCAGTTGCTCTGCAGGACAAAGATGAGGCTTTCTGCTCCCATAAACATTTACAGCCTTAGAAACCCTATACAGGGCTGTTATGAGTCAGAACCAACTCCATAGCACATCGCCGCCACCACCCCTGGAGGAGGGGCTGTGATCACCAACCTTGTTTGTTTTTTTATTACTTACATAAAATTTTTAATATTTGCATAGCAAAGATATGATACATTTGGTGTAGTGTTGTAGGATAAATACTGGGATGCTAACTGCAAGGTTGGTGGTTCAAACCCACCAGTTGCTCCTTGGAAACCCAACCTAGGGTTTCTATGAGTTAGAACCAACTCACCCACTTGACAGCACTTAACATGTTAAGAAAGAAAATAAATAATAGACAAAGAAAAATAGTTGCAACATATATGATGAAATGCTTTATCCTGAAAATTAATAGGAAATGCAACAACAACACAAGAAATTTCACAGAATAGGAAACCCAATTAAATAGAAAAGCCAATAAAAAGCAGGAAAGGACACTCACCCTCATTAATTGTTGTTATATGGCATCACTGACACTGACCTCATTTTACAGTAGGAAACTGAGTTACTGAGGTTGTCACCTATTTCTGGTCACATAGCTACAGGAGCTGGGATTCAAATGCAAGCAGTCTGTACTTGAAGATGATTGTTTTAGACTGGTCTAAGGTCATACTCCTGCTGTGGAACTGTAGGATAAGCACTGAACTGCTAACTGTAAGGATGGCACCAGCCGCTCCTTGGAAACCCTATGCAGGGTGGTCACTATGAGTAAGAATCAACTCAACGGCACATAACAACAAGGTCATACCACTCTGATAATGCCCAATCTCTTCTGATCTTGGAAGCTGAGCAGGGTCAGACCTAGTTAGTATTTGGATGGGAGTATTATGGATGGAACTGTATCCCCCACAAAGGTAGGTTGAAGTCTTAACCCTCTTACTTGTGAATGTGACCTTGTTTGGGAAATGGGTCGTTAAAGATGTTACCAGTTAGGTTCATATGAGCTTAAGCTGGAACACGGTGGATTCTAGTTCAATCTGTGTAGTGATTTTATAAAAGAGAAGACATAAAGACAGAGAGACAGAAGAAAGATACTACACGAAGACAGATGGAGACATTTGTTTACAAGCCAAGCAAGGAACGCCAAGCATTGCTGGCCAACCACCAGAAGCTTGGTGAGAGACATGGAAGGATGTTTCCTTAGAGCCTTTGGAGGGAGCCCTGACAACACTTTCATTTGGACTTCTACTTCCAAAGAATACACATTCTTGTGGTTTCAGGTCCTCCAGTGTGTGATGTTTCGTTATGACAGCCCCGGGACACCTATATGATGAGACTTTTGTAAAGTCTTCATTTCCTGCCCTTAAGAAGAGCAGAACCCCCATCCTTAAACACCCACCCTTTACACCCACTCTTAATGGTCTGATTACTCCTCTGACCAAGGCATTACCTGTGTGGTTTGAAAACTGCACAGAGTTAACGGCATCAATTTCAAATCCCAGCACCTGCAAGACAGAAAAGGGACTGGGTGTAAGACAGTGGTGGCTTGCACTACATTTAAACTACATGGGCCCAGGAACTGGAGAAGCCGGACACCCTCAAGGCCACTGAAGGGGAGAGTCACAATGTTGGAACAGGAGCTACATTTTGGCCCGAATAAACAGTATATAGCTCAGGGATCTCTGTACCCAGTAGTAATAGACCCCGCTCTCTCCTTTATTCAGGAAAGACACCAGGGACCAACCAGCCAGCAGGGCAGTCTTAGAACTCAGAACAGCCAGCTAAACCACATGGAAGAGGTGCCTTAGGATCATTTCTGAAATTCCCCAAGCCAAACAGCCCAGGGAAACGCCTGTCTGTCTGGACAAAGGACAATGGACAAAGACTGTCTTTCTGCGAGGACCCTGGCTTGGAGCCCTAGTCTCTGTGGGGGAGCAGCACATGAGCCAATTGGGCAGAAGGGACGGCCCACGCCTGTGCCTGTGGTACCCTTGCCTACAGCCACGCCCAGTCACAAATGGCCCACCAATGAGGTATTTAATGCTGTATTAAGCCAGATCTCCCAGCCCTCACTGGGTTCAATTCAGCTACCAAGGATTCAGCCCCTTTGAGTCCTGCTTAGCCAGGACAGAGTCCACCTGTTGCCCGACCTCCACTTAATGAGCCCCAGAATATTTCTCCAGAGAGGGCAAAACTCAGCCTCTTCTAACACTGGGAAGTCAAAGTCACTGAAAGGGTTCTGAGAGAGCAGGAAGGGAAGAAGGATCTCTTACCACAGGGCCACACCAGAGAAGTTTTTATGGGGAAAAAAATTAAAGATATCACTAAGTTAAAAAGCTAATTAAAAAAAAAAAATAGAAGCAGGAGCTCTTCTTTAATGAAAGAGAAGAAAAGTTAAGCTGCTGTCTACACAAGCAAACACTGGCAGTTGTTTGCCGCACAATATGGGACATGGGATTTTTCTTTTGCTAAGCTTTAACCCTATTGCTGTCAAGTCGACCCTGACTCATGGTGACTGTGTGTCACAGTACAATTAACTATGCTCATTGCTTGATTTTCCGGAAGCAGACTGTCAGGTGTTTCTTCTGAAGTGTCTCTAGGTGGACTTGAACCTCCAACTTCTCTGAGGTTAACAGTTTGCTCTATCACAGGTCTCCTGGTTTTCAACATTGAACAGTGAGTGGTCCACTTCAGCTACTCTTATTGGCAGGGCCCATCCCCTCTAGAACTATTACAAATAGACCCAAGACAATGGCCTCCTCCCCAATGCTCAGATTGCCCACCCCTCATCCCTAACTGCTTGAGGAACTCCCACCAAGCCAGAGTCTTTGTCTAGAGCCTGGTGTCCAGGTTGAGAAAAAAAATCCATTGGACGTTCTATTACCCACTACCTACCATGGGGCAGAGGTAGAGCAAACTGAAACCGTGGGTGGCCAGATCACCTACTCTAGGGGAAGGCAGGTATATTTGATCTGTTGGCTCTATCTTCCCGAGTCTAGGGAGTTTTCAGCACAGCGATCCTAGGTCTGAAAGACCACTGCACTCCAGGCTCTTGTTTCTTGGTATAACGTGACTCTTTCTCTGCTTACTTCTCACAAGCAGAGGAAGTCAAAAGAAGACAAAAACCCAATGAGTATTAGAGCCCTTTCAAGTCAACTGCCAAGACTTCTGGTTGAGCACAGCAGAATGACCTTTAGATTTTCTCCACCCCAAAATTTCCAGAAAATTATAGCAAAGGGATTTTCAAATCCCAACCCCACAAGAAAAACGAAAGGGAAATAGTCTACAGGGGAAAGCCTGAGAAAATGAGGGCCACCTCACTAACAGAGCCCCCTGGGGACAGAGAACAAGAACATGCGTATTTGTGTATGAAAGAGAAATAAACAGAGTGTGTGTGCGTGAGTAGACAGAGAAACAGAGGCAGCATGTATATGAGAGAGTGAGACAGAATGTGTTTGTGTGTGAAAGGGTATATGTGTGTGTAAGAGAGCAAGTGTACACAAACCAAAGAGATACTAAGAAAAACAGTAAGAGAAGTGTATGTGCAAGAGGGAGCATGTGAGAGAGTGAGAGTGTGACAGAGACCAACAGAGAGAAAGAGTGCATATGACAGAGAGAGAACAAACTAAAACCAAGGAGAAGGGGTGACCTGTCAGCCACCTTCCCCAGTGGCCCGTGACCCTCACCACTCTGCCATTTTGCTCTGGCCGACCTTGCCGCCTCCTGTGCACCAACAATTTTCTAACCCCTCTTTTCCCTCTTCACCAGAACACCAACCAACCATGCTTCACTTAATGTTCAAAATGAGGCATATTTTCTGGGATGTCAGCAATCAGGAGAATGATTGCCTCCGGGAAGGAGAAAGGGGGCAGTGAGTGGGAAGGAGGGGCTTCTGAGTGGTCATGATCTATTTCTCCATGTAGGTTATGTTGCTGGTATGTTGCCTTTTGTGATAATTCACTGAACTGTACACTTATGATGATTTGTATTCACCCAGCCCTTTCAACACAAAAATTAAAGCCAGTTTATCATTACTTACAGCAAAGAAACAAATGTTAAAATTGGCATTTTGCAAACTGACTTGCCTGACTTCATGGCCCCTAAACACTAAATTAAAATTCTAATCAACTCTGAAGGAACAGATTTGAAGCAATGATGACACAAATCTTGAAAATTCTCCCAAAAATGTTCTGCTCCATTGCTTCTATGTGTGTAGATAATTAATCCTTTGGAATTGGCAAATTTACCCGAGAATGAAGTTGCTATTTTCTGCTTTTAAATCCTATATAGCTAAGCCCCTAGGCTGGCATCTCTGTTTCATATACCACAAGCCAAATCGGCTTATTAATAAGCATCACATGAACAGCTCCAGTCTACCTATCAAAACTGCATGTGCCAGACTGAGCCAGACTCGGAAGACTGAAGACAAAGCGGAGGAACGGCGCTTCAAGATGAGAGCTATTAAGCTCTTTCCTTTAGCTCAAACCCGCCCTTCCTTCCAAACTTAGCTTTGGGATACTGGGACTGGCACTATGGGAACCACATCCCTGCTTGGCAGTGGCTCTCACCGGGCACTGCCAATAGAGAGAGTCAATGAAGCTCAAAGGTTGGGGGAGGTAGAAGGGATCTACTCCCAGTCAGCTTCAACCTGGTAGCATTCTCCTTCACCAGGCTGTACTCTTCCTCAGCCCAGCTCCTCGCCCCCGTGGCACACTTCTTCACCCCGGCAGTGAGTTCCTTCCCATAGCAACCACTGAATCTACTTTGCGTTTTTCCATATCTTGCAGATCCCAGCATAAGCCAGCCAGTGTCCCCTTGACTCAGTTTTTAAATTCTGATGACCCTAACCTCTTCTCTTTGATTCCACAACCCTAGTAACGCCAGCTGTTTAAAGCCAGTGCTGGGGTGCCAGCAGATGCCTCCCCATAGCATCTTTGTGTTTGCCCCCGTATAGTGCGGGGAGCAGACCCAAGTTCCTGCTACTCAATACCCTTCTTCACATGAATCACTTTATATGGGAACACTGCCCCATGGATCACCCCTAATCCAAGGTCAGAAATCCATTTTTTAAACCTAAGAAGTCGGATAGCATCAATGACCACAGTAGCACCCAGCCTCCTCAAGAAGCCTCAGAAAAGCACAGAAATTGTCCATACAAACTCTGGAAGAGACAGCAGAAGTTCGTTCAAACATCCTGGGATCCCCAAATCATTCTTACAATGGTCTCAGGTGGAATCAAGGACACGCATGAGGAGATGGTCAGATTTCAACTAGGATGGTCTCCAGTAACATTTTCTAACTGGCTTGCCACTTTGACAAACACAGACACACACAAGAAGTAAAACAAAGTATTTCCCAAAATAAGCAAGATTTGAATGACACACGACCATCTATACTGTGGCATACATCCCACTGCCATGAAGAAACTAGCCCTCTTAGACAAGAGGTCTGATGAATGAAGCAAGACTCTGCTCACCTACTACAGTAAAGCCACAGCGTCATTCTAGTTACCAAGGAAAACTAGATTAACTGAACAGGTAACTGTAAGAGTAATTAATGCTGAGGAGACAGAGACACTCACTCAGCTCAAAGGAGCACATAGACTCAAGAGCCAGCCAAAACCCAGCAACGTCTATGGTATCAGACCTGCTATGCTTTCAAGCCTGCATGTGGCAGGGGTTCCCACAACCAGCTGAATGAATAGAAATGTAGACATGCACAGCGTATGTAGGAGTACAGATATGTGCACTGTATGCAGGCAGTGCAGACGTGCATAAGCAGAATAGACGTGTGTTATAGCTAAAAAGTGTAGATATATGTGCTGCATAAATAAGCATGTGTGCTGTATACAGGCAGTGTAGATGAACACTCCATGTGGAGGCAACAGACATACGAGCCATATACAGGCCCTGCAGATGTGCCCACTATATACAGACCTCACAGATATGTGCACCACGTACAGTAAGCCTAGAAGTGTGACTATGTTCAGGAAGTACTTGTCTCCTGCCAAGGGAGGAAACTGTTCAGGCCACTTCCCACCGGATGGTCAAAGCAATCCTAGGCAGAGATCAGGACAGTGGGATGACTCAGAAATAGCTCCAACTTCCTGCCTGCCCCCAACAGACACATGGTATCCAGGGGGAAACATCTGGAATAATCAGTGCACATGTGCACCTGGGGAGCACACGTGCAAATGCTCATTAGTTGCTCTGCAATAAAGTGCAATAACAAAATGAACTGAGGATGCAATAAAAGCTCTCCAATCTGGCTCCTTCTCTGGAGCACGGTGGCTGCCACATGCTCCCCACACTAACCCCATTCTTTTGGCTCAGACTTCAGTACACCTTCTCCAGAGGGCAGCCCCACGTGCTTGCTGCCTCAAGGGTGCTGTGTCTCCCAGCATCAGCACCCGCCTCCGCTCCCGCCACTCATAGCACAGGGAGACATGGTCATTAACTCAGCAGCACAGCCGAGCCGCCCTCATCCAGAGAGACACGTAAGCTCA